TTTGGCAGTCTCAGGGCCCGTAGGGAGCTGATAGCATTCACAGGGCATTTGGGAGTCTGCTGAGGACACTGGGCTTTACGGGTGGGCGGCATGACGGAACCCACATCTTTACAAGGCTCACTGAGGCAATGCATGGCGTTCAGACTCTCAGGAAGGGGTTTGGGAAGCTGGACAGCCCTTGGGGGTGTCAGCTGCAAATGTGAACTAGGGGAGGGGGGGAGTGATGGTGAAACTTGGTAATTTTCAAAAACACTCATGGTGTCAGCATGGGGGAGCTGGTTCAGGCCCAGAAGCTGAGCTGGCTGCTGGGTTCTGAGCTTGTGCGATCAGGTGGACCACAGGGCTGTTGAGTGTGGGGACCTTGGGAGGGGCCAGGTATGGGACAGTCAGAGGCAGGGGAAGATCATGAACTCTGAGTTGGATGTGATCAGTTTGGTCATCTTTTGAAATATCAGATGGAGATGAATTGGTGTGCAACAAAAAATAGCAGAGCACAAGGGACCCGGGCCTCTCCTGACTGCAGCCTCCACCTTCTATTCTGCAGCAGATAGCACAATCACAGCTAGACTCTAGAGGCTAGCTCCTTCAGTGTGGCGGCCCTCTCTTTCCTTCCTGTGTTCCCAGGAAAGAAGCAAACAGTTCAGAGTTTGGGCAGAGCTCTAGGCTCTAGGCAAGCAGGTGACTACCAGTGTTCAGAAGGACTGGATGCCACCCACATGGAACAGGCAGGAGCCAGCTTTCGGATCTCCAATCTCCCTCTTCCCAGAAGTGGTCTCTAGACACACAAATGGGTCTATTGTAGAGGAAGGGGTGCCTTCCCCATGGGTCTCCCTCTGTGGAACACATGTAGGAGGGCAGCCTGCCCGGAGGGAAAGAGCAGGCCTCTGGGTTCCAAGGCAGCCCAGATGTGGAGTGCCATGTTATCACGACACAGGAATGCCAGCTGCCTATACCTGGGAACCTCAGGCCCTAAGGGAGTCACGGTCTCCAGGCAAGGAAGGGGATGAAAGACTCGGGTGGGGGTCCCAGCCAGCCGTTTGCCCAGGCTAGCCAGTTCCCCTTCCAGATTATTCTGCTGATTGTGCTGTCAAGCCAGCAAGCTCACCCATCCCTATTGTTCTAGATGTAGGGCCCTTGATGCTGATGTATTGGACCAGACAGAAACTGACAGGAGCCAGCGGCCAGCTAGTTCCCACTTTGTACGGGATTTTGCTTTCACTGTGGGGGGAGACCAGCATCACAGACTGAGACTTGGGCAGTGCCTCAGCACACCACATGGCTAGGAGCAGAGCAAATCACCACGTGGCAGTTTGTGCTCCAAAAAGCAGCACAGGTGAGTGGGTCAGGTGTGGACTTTGCCACAATCCCCACTGTACCTTCCATTGGAGTGCTTTGGAAGGTCACCCCATGAGCAGAGCCTTACAGGATAGTTCACAGGAGGAAGGGCCTGACCAGGACTGTGCAATGAATGGGCCTTACTTACTTGCAGGGGAGCTAGCTAGCTGCTACCAGACGCCCTCCCAAAACACCCAAGATGTGCTTCTCCTAGTGCAAATCCTTAGAGACTGGTAATTAAGGTGCTTTGTAACTCTTTAAAAGGACCACCCCTAACAAAGTAGAATCCATAATTTCATATGTAACCCTCAGAAGGGGATGGGGACCATTCTAGACCATGGGCACGAAGAAATGCCTTGCTGAAGTATTGCCCTGTTTGCTGACTGCTCTCTTCTGTGCCCACTCCCAGACCTCAGTGTTATGGAGGAGACCATGTGCTCTTTCTTTGGTGCCTTTTCTGTGACCCCCCCCATGAGAGGTCCTGGTGCCTCCATTTCTGAGAATATTTTGAATGGTTCAACAACAGAGGGAAACCAAGCTGTCAGTGACCGCAGGAATCCAAACCATTCTCAAAGTACACCAAGTGTGCCAACGTTTCATTATGGGCAGGTGTTTAGAGGTCAGTGATTGAAAACCACAGGTCACAGTGCCTTTTATTCACCATTACACAAACCACGTGACATGAGAGACCCTCAGTGTCGCAGGACAATCTCAGTGGGAGATGACATGCAACTGGAGAGTCACATATGCCCCCTTCAGCTGGAAAGCCATGGCCTTCTGCCTTCGGACACGGAATGGGAAAAACCAGGTATGGTAGGTGAAAGCTGCCTTCCAGGTGCAGAATTCTCCAGAGCTGCTTCATGCCAGACACAGGGAGGAGGCGCTTGGCACAGAGCGTTTTCCTAACATGTTACAGGCTAGTGCTGCTCCAGAGGCCGAGGCCCCTCCATCTGAAGCACGTGATACCGCCAGCGGTCCCTGTGCCCCGCCTGCAGGGTTCACACCACCACGTGGAACATGACTCCGTGGCGCCACCACTCACAGGTCAAAAATAAATGCCCGTGATTTATTAACTTATAATAACCAAGACGGAGTCATGAGGCTCGTTGGCCACATGGCTTGATCGAATTTCTTCCTTTAAGGATACATCTGTGCATCTTGGGCCAGTTTAAAAAAACCAAATACTTTTCACCAATAAGCAGTGGCACACACAGAACTCTGTGTACACGCAAACCAATAGCAATTGCTGTAAGACGAACCTATGCTGCCTCAATGACCCTATGAACACCACATGTCTACAGAAACCGTGGGAGAAAGTGTGAGTTTATTTGAGCTCTCACTTATTACACCAAGAAGTACAATGCCTCTGTATATTTAAGCAGACGGTGGTGGCACACAGAGGCCACACAACTAAAATAGGTTCTTCAAAAACATTTGACACATTCTTGCTAGAGGCACAAACACAACTTCTTTAAAAAAATAAAATGTGACTTCGAAGGCCTTTATTTATAGGGAAGAGAAATAAGGATGGATGCTAGTGGATGTTTAATCATGAGCCCAAGGCCTGTGTGGATTCTCACCTAGGTCATTTGCCTTTGAGATTCTGTCAAGGCAAAGAGAAACTGTCACTGATTGTTACAAACTACCCCAGGATTCTGACCCTAGGCATTGCCCGGACTACTTAGATTTGGAGAATGGAGACTAAGTGTCTCCGTTTAGAGAATCGCTCACCCCAGCCCAAGTCCATTTGATGACGATACTCTGTATAAAGCAGTTAGTTATATACATAAATAACATAAAAATATTTATCATAAATTAAAAAAATCCAACTGTCTCCCACTATGAGTTCCGCTGAGAGGTGAGACGTGGGGACGTGGGGAGACCTCCTCCTTGGCTGTGGAGGGCACGCGCTGCATAAAACAATCTCCAGCCGGCCCTCGAGTGCTGTTTGATAAGTGCTGAGAGTGGCATCTGCCCAACACAAGCCACCCTTGGCCTGACTGCTAATGCCAGGTTGCCAAGGCCTCCTTTTCCCATGGCTGACTGGCGGCAGGGTCCCTGCAGGCTAGTCTCTCAGATAGGTAACATCCGGGACAGATGAGATCAAGGGATAAAGCAAGCTTATCCTTTCATTCTGGATAGCATTAAAAACAGACCGGCAGAGCAAAATCACACTTCTTTCCCCACATCCCTTTGTGTCCCCATTCTGCTTGCTGGGGGCACCACAGTCCGACATTGTGAATGACAGCGAGGGCCCCTATTCCTGCCTGACGCACACAACGCCTCTTCTGTTGTGCTCACCTCGCCTGCTTCCATCCCACCTGCAGGAAATTGCACGTGTTTCTGAAGTAGCTATGCTTCTCCCCTGTAAAGAGCCAAACCCAGTCAACATTTTTAGGAAAGTGATCTTCAAACACATCGACCTTTGGAGTTAAGGCTACATAGAAAGAAAACACAGATTCCTTTCCCGTCCTTCCATTCAGGGGCTTGGCTGAACTTCAGCCACAATAAATATATTTGGTGACAGGGTCCTGAGACAGCTCGGAAGGAGCCTCTGGAGGCGAGGAGCCCCCTGACTCACTCATGCTGCGTGTGCCTTTGCACTCGGGCAGCTGTGCAGAGCTGGGCATGGCCTGACAGTCCTACAGTGAAAACGACTTTTATCATGTCAGAGTAAAATTAGAACAGCACTGCCACAATGGGGTCTTGAAGATGCAACATGTTTGAACTAAAGTGAAAAACGAAATGGAAAAGCTGTACTGAAATTCCCACAATGCCTTTTGTGCCTGAGTCGGTGGCCTCCTGACTCCTCACCCATAATGAACTTGAAGGCCAGGGCCACCACACATATCACACATGGCCCCAGCCCACAGCTCTGACAAGCTGGAAAAACTCAGATTCTGAGGAATGGAACCGATGCCACCTTAAGTTCTATCTGTTCACTTGCTGAAGGAACATGGGATGAGGAGGACCCCGTGTTCCCAGCTGCATGTGGCCCCAGGAATATTGTTCGCGTTCACAGTAACTGAGCTCTAAAGAAAGCAGACGTGACCCGCCTGCACTTGCACCATCGCACTCGCCTCCAGGATGCTGCTTCTCCTGCTGTGCCCTTCCCCAGCCCTGTGGCAATCAAGCAGTTCTCAGGGTGAGGCTGTGGCCGGGCTGCACTACCTTGGTAAGACATGGCGTGGAACCCCAAGGAACTCCAGACTCCTGCCTGCCAGGGCCACTTCTCCAGCTGAGCTGACGGGCTCCCCGTGGTGCTGGGCGCACCTGGAGAGGATCCTGCAAAGCTAAGCCAACTGTACTAACACTGCAACGTGTGCACTTTTTCTTTGTTTGGTATCCAGCAAACAAGCCCCACAAATCCCCCTGGCTCTCCGGACAGAGGCCTGGGCTCTGCAGTGACTCTCAGTAGCTGTACATCTGTGGCTGCTCAGGCTGCACCTGGGGCTGTGTGGCTGGCTGTGGGGGAGCTGGTGGCTGTGGCGGCTGCAGTACGTCCGTCTGGGGCACTGCCCGCCATGTGAGTGGGTGCTGCTCACTGAGCTGGTTCCCCAAGGGCGTGATGGAGTTTACCAGGGTGGTCAGATTAATGAAGTGGGCCACAGACTGTGGGTTCGAGGCTTCTGCCTGGGGGTGGGTCTGCACGTCACTCTGACGGTTGTGCAACATGGCAGAGCCACTGACCGTATCAAAGGTCACGTCAGGATCGAGTTGTCCAGCTGTAATTGGCGTTCAGGGGTTGTGAGGTGCCCCACGGCCACTGGCTGCAGATTGGTAAACTGAGTCCCAGCTGAGGTGGTAATGGGTGTCACAGTGATGTTAGTCAGGCCAACGGAGCTTGAGGGAGCTGTCACATTGGGGTCTCCCAAGGTCACCACCACCTGGAAGAGTCACATGGAGCAAGAGATAGTGAATTGTTTCTGAAAAAGGGAGAATGAAGCCAGGTGCCAGGCCTCATGCCTATAATCCTACCTACTCAGGAGGCAGAGCTCAGGAGGATCGTGGTTTGAGGCCAGCCTGGGCAAATACTTCCCGAGACACTTTTGCACAAATACCTAACACAAGAAAGGGCTGGCGAGCGGCTCAAGTGGTAGAGTGCTTGAGTAGCAAGCATGAAGCCCTGAGTTCAAACTCTAGTACCACCCTCTTCCCCAAAAAAGTGGGGGAAATGAAAGAGCTATCTTTGTGCACCTAGGGCTGGAGGAAATGAGACAGAACAGAGAAACACATGGATCATACTGGCTAGAGGAGAGAGAGAAGCAAGCCTGACAGAGCAGGAAGTAGCCTCTCCCTTCTCTATTCACTCTTCCAGCCTGCCTCGATGGTGGCAAATGGAATCCCAGCCACATGGCTCAGAAGGGCAGTGAGGCACCTGCAGTGCCAGTAACTGAAGGACACGGCATTCATGCTGAGTGACCAAATGCCAAATAATGTAAGCATGTCTGCAACCAGATACGTCTCCAAAGATGAGAGTGAGGGTGCAGCAGGCACAGATCACTGAAAGACTCAGGGCCTTGAAGGAAACGTGACGAAGGGAGAGCAAAGTGGAACAGTCCACTGAAGGAGGCTGGTGCAGCTGGCGCACCCTGCCTGTGCTCTGTGCCCTCCAGCTGGCAGGACCACCTGGTAAGCAAAAGTCCCAGGCTGCATTTTTCTGTAACAAAGCAACGCTCTCCATAGGCTGCCAGGAACCACCCAAAGCTGGACAGCAGCCTCGGAGCGCCCAACCAGGGACACGACTCTTTCACATGCTAGAATGGCATGAGATTAACAATGCCACACGAGATCTGGAGGTCAGAAGTCAGCAACAGTGTGTACATGAACAGCGGACATGAGTGTGGATTCCAGCACGGAAAGAGCGCACACACACACACACACACACACACACACACACACACACACACAGAGCTTATTGCAAAGGGACAGGCGTCCTGCATGTGTGGGACTCTCAATGTAGGAACACTGCTCTACAGTAGTGCCTGGCACCTGATATGAGCCAAGAGAAAGCAACTGACCTGCTGAATACTCTGCACGGCAGAACTGGTCTCATCGCCCACGCTGCCCGAGAACTCGGGCTCCTTCTCCGAATACTCGCTGAAGGCCGTGTCCTCTGGCACTGGAGCCCCTGCCTCCTCCTCCGGCTTCTGCTTCCTCTTGTGGCTGCGCTTGGTGGCCTTTCCGTGCTTCCCTTCGGCCAGCTCCTCCTGCTCCAGGCCCAGCTCAGACTGCAAGGAGAACAACTTCAGCAACTGACCAGGTCAGCAGGCCATGACCAGGTAAGGGCAGCCAGGTCAGTGGAGGTTCTCTGGCCACCGGGTGGCCACGGGAAACAGAGTGGTCACACTTGTGTTAAAGTGTAAACATCTTTCAAAACTAAATTTTTAAGGCCACTGGGAAAACGCTGGTGAACTCAGGCCAAGGAAAATTCCAATGAGAGTCCTCCCTGAGGCTGAAACCAATGAGCTGTACAGAACGATTTTGGATTTAGATGGTTTAACCCCAGAACTGAATGGATTCTTATTTTTCTTCCTTTCAGGGCAGCAAAGTGGGGCCCCTGGCATTCTACACGGCCTGCTTCTCAGTGAGGCAAAAGGACAATGTGGGCTAAGGCCAGCTAAGGCCAGTTGCGTGCCAGGCTTGCTGAGCCTCACGGGGGTCAAGGGCAGGGACGGCTGGCGAGGCGCCCACCCTGTCATGGCCAGTCCTCTGGTGCTCCTGGTGCTGTCCTATGAAACTTGCCTACAACCGACCCAGCAGAAGCAGCCAGAGGGTGGTCATACTGGGACCTCCCTTCCATCCTCTACCTGTGACAAGGTTCTGTGCTAGGTTTGGACTCCCACATGCTCCGTCCATGTGACACAATACCTTAATTCCCACTGTGCTCAAAAGCACAGGTACATATTCATCTTAGGTACTGCCGACGTATTCTCTTGTGATTAAAAAAATTGTTATAAAGATATTGACTAAAATTCCTATAAAACCAGGGTTCAGGCTGGGTGTGTTGGCTCATGCCTGTAATCCCAGCTACTCAGGAGGTAGAGATTGGGAGGACTGAGGTTTGAGGCCAACCTGGGCAGAAAGTTAGCAAGGCCCCATAAAGCTGGGGATGGTGGCACACACCTGTCACCCTGGCTACAGGGAAATGTAAATAGGAGGACCACAGTCCAGGCCAGACTAGGCAAAAAGACAAGACCTGATCTTAAAAAAAAAGCACGAAGCAAAAAAGGCTGGAGCATCACTCAAGCAGTAGAGTGCCTGCCGGCAAACTTGAAGCCATGAATTCAAATACCAGTACTGCCAAAAAAGAAAGAAAGAAAGAAAAAATTCAGGTTCATCTAATGTTTGCTTAGGACAACTTACGCTATTTTCTGGAAACCATCTATTCTCCAACCACACACCAGCATACAAAAACCTGACTCACAGACCCAGCACAGACACAGGAGCTATTCTCAGAGGATGTGGGGAAGAGCACCATGACACAGTGACAGCATGGCAATGCGTGAGGCACAGATGACAGGGCACTACAAAGCCACTCTACTATCTGGCCCAAGACCTGGGGGTTCCACTCAGCACAACTGCTTCTCTGGAAGCTCCCCCAGCCCTGCAGGGTGCTCTGTGCTGCTCACCTGGACGATGCCAATGGAGGAGGCGTCGATGGTGGTGGTCTCAGGCAGGTGGTCCAGATCATCTATCCTCACAGCGAGGACCTGCAGGGGGCACAGGGCTGTGAAGGGGTACTGAACTACCAAGGGGTGCAGGGCGATGGCGGGGTGCTGCGCCACCCAGGGTTGCAGGGCAGAGGGCGCAGGTAATGTTGCCCTGATGTGCACGCAGGAGCCCAGACAACTGACACTGTCATTCCCTCCAAGGAAGAACTCGCCTGTCTCCAGCTCTCCTCTGCTCAGTGCTGACTTTGAAACTGTTTCCTGTCTGGGTTCATCCTCACCACCCTCTTGCACTGTCCATCTCATGCCAAGTGGTGCTGCTTTGCACCCGGTCTCTGCATCATCTCACATCCCTCTGCTCATCCACAGCTGGATGCTGTTAACTATGACCCACGCTTTCACTTAGGAGATTCCAATGCATCCCGCCATTTCACAGGAGGGGCGGAGGGAAGCCTGTCCTTTAAGGAATCACCAAAGGCAAGACATTCACATCTTAAACACCACTTTTCAGCTGACCGAATGCAGTTACTTTCATCTGACAGTTCTGGGAAGAAGAAACGCCCCTGCCCTGCCTTCCCCGCAATGAATGGGGTCCACAGCACTGTGGCTCACACTGTGACTCGCCCATGTGTCCATGGGGCCTTCCACCAGCTCCTGCTCACCTACTTCTTCTCATTGCATGTGTCACTGTGACTTTTAATTAAGTCACAATTAAGACGACAGTTGATTAGAGACAAAACGGAGGAGTAGACGCTTTCTCATCAGACTCTGAGTAAGAGTCTGGATAATAAAGACAGACCACACACAGGAGAGCAAAGGAGAGGACATGAGAACCACAAGAGGGCCAGGATAGCTGAAAAATCCAGTGAAACAAGGACAGAGTAAATCAGTTTGCAGCTCCAGTCCCAGCTCCCCTAGGGGAGGAGAATCCAAGGCCTCCACTCCCAGGTAAGCCAGAGGCCTAGCTGTGGGACAAAAGCCACACCTCCACAAACCTTAACCCTAGTGCAGAGATTTGATGGGACAGTGACTTCTCCAGCTTGACAGGCCAGCACCAGACGAGACAACCCTCCATTCCCCATCCTCAGAAAGCTGTGGCAAGGCACCATCTTGAGAAAGGGCTTCCCAATGGAGACTGAGGTACTAGGCAGGGATGGGGATGGGGACTGGGGTGGGGCGGAGGTCTTGAAAACAAGGAGCAATCAAAATTCAGCGTGTCTTGAGACACCTGGCTACAGTGTATGAGAAGGGATGGCCACGAGGAATTCACGAGAGTTGGGCTTTGACTTGGGGTGAGCTGAGAAGTTAAAGGGAGCTCAGGAAGGGAAAGGTGCAGTGTTGGTGGCCCCGCCCTACCTGACTGGAAAATTTCAAAAACAAAGCACCTAGCCTTTGCAGGCAGAGAGCTTGGGTTACAGAAGCTGCTTGCAGATGGTCTGCAGGCAAGTGAGCTTTGAGACTGAGCAATCCTGGGGATCTAAAGGGTTACAGCTCTGTGATTTCTGGGACTCACAGCCAGTGTACACATGGGAGACTGCTACCAGAGGCAGACAGAGAGGGAGAGTTTTTGACAGGGTCAATCTGAGGGCTTCTAGTAGAACCTGGTAAGCCACCAAAGGCCCAGAGGTCAGTGACCTTACCATCTCCAGTGATAACCGCTCCACTGACTAAGGCCCTGTTCATGGAACGAGTGGCCTCACTCACATCTCTCTTCATTTCAACAGGAAGTACCCCTCCCCCCATCTTTTGCAGCCCCAAAACAATTTCACTGGCAAGGCGCTTTGTTAAGAAGAATTGTCCTGGAGTGTGTCACCACATGGAAATTCTTCACTGTGCCAGGAAGTAAAAGAGACACTTAGCCCAACAGATGTGCAAATCACAGGATAGAAATTTAAATATGAAAAACCAAGCAGAGTTTCTTCTCCAAAACCCCACAACAACACACACCTGAATCCAAAGATAATGAATTGGGCAAGATGTCTGATAGAGAATTCAAAAGCTACTGTTAAAAATGATCCAACTACCTCAAAGAGGATTCAAATAAAGAGATAAATGAAGTCAGGAAAACAACTCAAGACCTAGACAAGAAAGTCAACAACATGGACAAGACATTCAGCAAGAAAATAGAAATTATGAAACAAAAAAAAGTAGACATAAAAAACTGAATAAAGCAAATAAAAACCACAGTGGATCATATTATCAGCAAAGATCAAACAGAAGAAAGAATATCAAAGATGGAAGACAAGGTTGAGGAGATAGTGCATGTAGACAATCACAAAGAAAATAAATGAATACCTATGGTTACAACATACAGGAACTCTGGGACACAATCAAAAGACCAAATCTAAGATTTTATCAGGTGGCAGAAGGAGCTGAAACACAAACTAAAAGCACAGGAAACTTATTTAATGACCGCATAGCAGAAAATCTCTCAAATCTATGTAATGAGATAGATGCCCATGTACAGAAGGCATTTCAAACTCCATATAGATCTGACCAGAAAAGAGCAGCCCCATGACATAATTAAAATGTCAAAACTAGAGAACAAAGAAAGGATACTGAAAGCTCCTAGAGAAAAACACCTGCTCATACATAAAGGTAAATACGTAACAGTCACCTCAGACCTCTCAGCACAAACCCTAAAAGTCAGGAAAACATGGAGCAATGTAATTCAAGTTCTGATAGAGAGAGTAACTGCCAACCAAGAGACTTTATCCAGCAAAGATGTCCTTCAACCTCAACAGAGAAACAAGGACCTTCCAGGGTAAGGACAAGCTAAAGTAGTTCATGTCCACCAAGCCTGCATTACAAAGGATATTCAAGGGAATATTTCACACAGAAGAGGAAGAAAAGCAATCACAAACATGAGAAGTCAGGAAAGATAACACTCAAAGGGGGAACTGATGAACCCAGGAGTACTAGGAAAGTATTAAGTGTGGCCAACTCAATAAATCAGTAAAACTTGAAGATAAACAATGCCCAAAGTAAAGACCAATCAACACGAGAATGAACCTGGAAAAAAGCAATCAATAGAAACACAGGAATCAGCAAACACCTCTTAATCATAACCCTAGATGTAAATGGACTTAACTCTCCAATCAAAAGGCAGAGACTGTCTGATTGGATCAACCATCAAGACCCAACAATCTGTTATCTACAAGAAACACACCTCACCACCAAAGACACTCACACTAAAAGTGAAAGGTTGGAAAGAGATATACCAGAAATGCAGAAATTGAAAGCAAGCCAGAGGAGCTATCCTTATATCAGACAAAGCAGATTTTAAGGAAAAACCTATCAGAAAAGATAAGGGTCACTACATACTAATAAAGGGAACAATTCAGAAAAAAGATATAACAATTCTAAATATATATGCACCAAACACTGGTAACCCCAAGTTCTTAACACTTTGGAGCATAAAGAAACAGATAGGACCAGATACAACAATTATGGGAGACTGACACCACTCCCGTTAATAGACAGAACATCCAGACAAAAAAATAAAGAAAGATATCCTAGAACTAAGCAATACCATGGACGAAATGGACTTCACAGACATTTACAGAGTATTCCATCCTACAACAGCCAATTACACACTTTTCTCAGCAGCCCATAGGACTTTCTCCAAAATACACCACATCCTGGTCACAAAGTGAACCTCAACAAACATAAACAAACTGAGATAATCCTCTGTACCCTAACAGACAATAATGGAATAAAATTAGACGTCAATGGCAAGGAAAACCACAAATCCATTCAAACTCACGGAGAACGAACAACACACTTTTGAACAGTCAACAGGTCATTGAAGACATTAACAAATTCCTAGATGTAAATGAAAATGAGGACACCACTTATCAGAACCATGGGACAGCAGAGGCTGTCTCAGGAGGGAAGGTCACAGCCATGAACGCTTACCTCAGACAACTAGAGAGATCTCAGGTAAATAACTCCATGATGAGTCCCAAACTCAAGAACAAAGCAAGCCAGCCCCAAAAGTAGTAGACAGAAAGATACTACAAAAACATCAATTAGTAAAGTAGAGGCCAAAAGAATGATACATTGAATCAATGAAACAAAAAAGATGGTTCCTGGAAAAGATAAACAGGATTCGCAAACCTTTAGCCAAACTAACTAAAATAAGAAAGAAGACCCAAATTAATAAAATCATAGATCAAAAAGGGGATATTATAAAAGACACCAATGAAATTCAGAATACCATATCGAATGTTTGAATGTTTTACTCCAGCAAAATGGAAAAATCAAGAAGAAATGTTTGTCAACACATATAACCCATTAAAATTGAACAAAGAAGACCTAAACAACTCAAAAAGATCCACAAGCCATGAGATTGAGATAATTATAAAGACCCTCTCAACAAAGAAAAGTCCACCTGGGCACCAGTGGCTCATGTCTGTAATCCTAGCTACTCAAGAGGCAGAGATCAAGAGGATCATGATTTGAGGCTAGCCCTGGCAAAAAAAAAGCAAAACCCTATCTCAAAAATACCCAATACAAAAAAGAGTTGGTGAGTGGCTCAAGTGGTAGAGCGCCTTCCTAGCAAGCATGAGGCTTGAGTACCACCAAAAAAAAAAAAAGAGAGAGAGAGAGGAAGAAAGAAAAGCCCAGGCCCAAATGGATTCACTGCTGAATTCTACCAGACCTTTAAATCAGGGCTAACATCAATACTCCTCAAACTATTTTAAAAAATACAAAGGGGAGGAGTACTACCAAAGTCATTCTATGAATCCAGAATTACCCTAATACCAAAACCAGGTAAAGACGCATCAAAAGAAAGTCGTAAACCAATATCCCTGATGAACATAGATGCAAAACTCCTCAACAAAATACGTGCAAGCCAAATCCAACAGCACATTAAAAACATTATATACTATGATCAAGTAGGTTTCATTCCAGAGATGCGAGGATGGCACAACACACACAAATTAGTAAATGCAATACAGCATCTAAACGGAAGCAAGGACAAAACCACATCATCATCCCAATAGATGCAGAAAAACCTTCAACAAAATTCAATATCCTTTATGATGAAAACTCTGAGAAACTAGGAGTAGGAGGAACATTATAAAGGCTACAAATGACAAACCTACAGCCAAGGTAATAGTAAATGGGGAAAAACTGAAACCATTTCCTCTAAACTCAGAACGAGACAAGGGTGCCCACTCTCCCCACTCTTTTTCAACATAGTCCTGGAATTCCTAGCCAGAGCAATAGGACATGAGAAAGAAACACAAGGGATTCAAATAGGGAAGGAGGAAGTCAAATTATCCCTATTTGCAGATGACATGATCTTAGACCTAAAAGACCCCAAAATGCCACCAAAAACTCTCAGAGCTCATAAACATGCTCAGCAAAGTGTCAGGAAAACCCAATATGCAAATATCAGCAGCATTTCTATACACCAGCAATAAACAGTCTGAGAAAGAAACCAATACCATTCATAATAGCATCAAAACATTAAAATACCTAAACAAATTTAACAGAGAAGTGAAAGACCTATACAATGAAAACTAAAATCACTGAAGAAAGAAATCGAAGAAGACACTAGGGGATGGAAAGCCATCCCGTGCTTAAGGATCAGCACAATCAGTATTGTGAAAATGGCTGTACTCCTGAAAGCAATCTATATGTTCAATGCAATCTGCATCAAAATTCCAAAGATATTCTGCAGAAAAGTAGAAAAATGAATCCTAAAGTTCATATGGAAGCACAAAAGACCTTGAAGAATCAAAGCAATCCTGAGCAAAAAAGAACAATGCTAGAGGTATCACAATATCTGCCTTCAAACTATACTACAGAGCCATAGCAATAAAAACAGCATGGCACTGGCACAAAAACTGGCACAAAGACCAACACAACAGAATAGAAGACCCAGACGCAAATCCAGGCAGCTACAGCCACTTGATTTTTGACAAAAAGAGACTAAAACATGCACTGAAGAAAAGATAGCCCCTTCAACAAATGGTGCTGGGAAAGTGTATGCTCACCTGTAGAAGACTGACACTAGATCCCAGTCTCTCACCTTGTACTAATATCAATTTAGGTGGATCAAAAATCTTAATGTAAGATCTAAAACTGTGAAACTAGTACAGGAAACAGTAGGGAAAAGAGTGGAACACAGAGGCACAGGCAATACTTCCTGAATAGAACACCAATAGCTCAGCAATTAAGAGAAAGGATGACAAATGGGACTGCAGCAAACTGAAAAGCTTCTGCATAGCAAAGGACACAGTCACTAGACTGAAGAGACAGCCCACGGAATGGGAGAAGATCTTTGCCAGCTATACACCTGGTAAGGGATTAACAGCCAGAATATACAGGGGGCTCAAAAACTAACCCCACAAAGAAACCAATAACCCAATGGAGAAAAGGGCCAAAGAACTTACAGACAATTTTCAAAGGAAGAAGTGCAAATGGCTAATAAATACGTGAAGAAATGCTCAACATTCTTGGCTTTAAAGGAAATGCAAATCAAAACAATACTGAGATTCCACCTCGCCCCAGTTAGAATGGCTGTCATCAAGCAAACAAACAACAAATCCTCAGAGAGGATGAAGGGAAGAAGGAGACTTTATTCACTGCTGGTGGGAATGTCGGCTAAAGCAACCACTGTGGAAAGCAGTATGGAGGTTCCTCAACAAACTAAAAACACAGCTGCCGTGTGACCCAGGGATACTGCCCCTGGGCACGTACCCGAAGGAACGCAAGGATACAACAAAGCCACTTGTACACTCGGGTTTATCAGCACCATGCCCCATAGCCAAGCTGTGGACACAGCCGATGCTCCAAGGGTGATGAATGGATTAGGAAAATGTGGTATGTATATACAACGAGAGTTATTCAGCCATAAGGAAGAATGAAACTGTGCTGTCTGCAGATACCTGGATGAACTGGACAGCTTCATGCCAAGCAAATAAGCCAGGCTCAGAAGGACAGAGGTCACGCTTTCCTCATATGTGGAAGCTAGACCTAACAGATGCACGTAAATACATATATGATCGTACACACACAGAACATGACTGTAATGGGGGGTCTGTCAGGGGACTAGAGGGAGGTGGGAGAGGAAAAGAGAATGCAGAGTGAGTAATGTTGAAAAGCCTTGCATGTGGCCTAACAAGGTGTGGAGCGAGAGCTGTGGAGCAACAGGGTGCAGGGGGTAGAGAAGGAAGTGACAGAAGGATAATCTGCTTAAAGCACAATACATACATGTCTGAAATGCCACAGAAAATCCCTGTTTAACAATTGATGTACACATAAAACAACGAAGGACAGAAGGGTAAATAAAACAGGTCCTGTCTGGGGCGGGTACCAGTGTGCGTGTAGGGTAAACTGAGAGGTGAAGGAGGGGATAGAGACCACGTACTTCATATTCTTGTATGAAAACAGAACAGTGAGACCTATTGTAATTTTTCTAAGGAGAGCGGGGTATGAGGGAGAACCATGGGGGAGTGACTCTAGCTAAGATACTTTGTAAGCACATTTGTAAGTGTTGCAATGAAATCCCCCCACACAAATAATAAAAATGTAAAACAAAAGGTCAGATGTGTGACTCGTATGGAGAGAACTGGACACACGGGTGGGTGTACAAAAGGGGAACCAGTTGTGGGAAAACTGCACAGATCAGGGAACCACCCAAGTCCACCTGCAGCTCCTCAGGTTATCGCTCCACTAAGGAATGCAGAAGTGAAAGGTTGCACCCCACACGTGGTTCGGGCTTATTTCAGAAGGCAGTGGGAGCTGCACCTCTGGACGAGTGTTAAAAGGTGGCGGGGTCCCTCTGATGTGTGCGAGTTAACAGCACCGCAGAGGCTTGGGAGCTGCTTCTGCTGCGCACAGCGCCATGTCTGGGGCCCATGGGGAGCCGAATGCTACCTGGTGCTTCCTGCAAGCACATGTGCTTCCTTTTGTGGATGCTCTCTGCACACGCTGGTTCTCTGTGGCTTGCTCACTGAGTGGTTATCGACTTTAATGCTAGTATCCTACATCTGTTCAAGAGAGTAAAAGCTGACACCTGTTTTTCAGTTTGCTCTTTGCTCAGAGCATGTGTAGTGACATCTAGTGACGGTCTGTTCACAATTCCTTTTGCTACTTCTCTGCTCAGAAAGGCTCTCCTCTCAGGCACCTGGAGTTCCTTATCTGAGCTGCTTCCTTTAGGGTGTGTGTCGTGCTCTGCACCCCGGACCTTCTTTACAAATGAGCAATCCAGCTGGTGGCTCTCTTTCCTGAGTAATCCTAGCTACTCAGGAGGCAGTTCGAAGCCAGTCAGGGCAAATAGTTCACGAGAACCTATCTTGAGAAAACCCATCACAAAAAAAAGGGCTAGTGGAGTGGCTCAAGGTTTGAGCTCAAGTCCCAGAACCGCAAAAAAAAAGAATGAGTGATTGGGGAGTCAGAGTCCATATGCTTCTCTACCTCTCCTCTTGGCCCTCCATGGCTCCCAATTTGCATACTGAATGGAAGGGGCAGGGGCTGTGCCTGAAGATGGAGGACCAGAGTCCTGCCTCAGGGACTCAAGGTCTGCAAAGGGCGCCAAGCCAGCACACCAGAACGAGGGCCCTGGAGTAGCGGGAGCACTCCAAGAGCACAGGCGGGGCACGGGGCCAGGCCGCACTGTGGGGGTGGAGGGGAGGGAGGGAGGGGCGCCAGGCTTACCTTGGGGTGCTTGCGCTATGGGGGGTGGGGGGAGGGAGGAGGGGGTGCTTGCGCTGTGGGGGGTGGGGATGGCGGGGGGGGCGGGGGGGGAGGGAGGAGGGGCGCCAGGCTCACCTCGGGGTGTTTGCGCCGCATATGTCGGCTCATGGAGGCCCGGGTGGACACCTTGGTGCCACACAGCTGGCAGCTCTGTGCTTCCACCTTGTCGTGGGTGAGCTGCACGTGCTTCTGCAGCATGTACTCGGTGACATACTTCTTGTCACACACAGAGCATGTCCACTGCTTGCCCACTTCACATGTGCATGCACAGAGGGAGGAAGAGAGGGGGCAGGTCAGCAGTGGGGCCAGCCATTGATCCCCCAGCCCCCCTCATAGCTGAGCATCTGTCACTTCCTCTGCTTCTCCTGTGAGCGCCATCTGCCAGGTCAGGTACAGAAAATGGGCATGGCTGAGATAAATTTGAGCAAGTGGCCTTCATACTTTGAGGAGCATCATCAAGGGTCCACCATTAAGCTAAGATGGCACTAAATGTTCTGGAAATGTCTGCATAGCACAATAGTTGGCTCCACCTCTGTGCTGTCAGGTGACCTGAAAAGCCCCTTCAGACTTGTCTACCTGTGTGGATGAGCTTGTGGGTGTCCATGGTATTCCTCTCGCTGAAAGTCTTCCCACAAAGTTCACACATGAAGTCTTTAATCCCTGCAGGAAAAGGCACACTTAATGTCACATGCTTGAAGCGTTCTGATTTGACTGCACTCAGAGAGCACCTTGTCCTTTACACCTCAGTGTTCGTAACACCTCAGGGGAGGTAAACCACCAGATGACAATCAACAATCTACTTCAATCTCAGCCAGAAAGCCGTGGCCTGAAAATTGTTCCCCTCGATAAGAGACGAAAACCAGGACCAAACACCAAGAGAATATAAATATACTAAGCAAGAGACACAGAACTGCTGTGGTCACACAAACATGTGTAATTTTTCTTTTTACTGTTCAATATCACATCAAAAATACCATTCACTGTGATCAAGGAGGATTTGTGCAGGGATGCAAGGATGGTTCAACATATGCAAATCAATGAACGTATAGGAGCACACTGACAGAATGAAGGATAACAATCATGTGATTTGATAAAATCCCACATCCCTTCAAAATGAGAACCCTGAACAAATCAGTGTAGCGGGACGATATCACAATATAATAAACCCACAGACAACGTCCTACTGAACAGAGAAAAGCTGAAAGTATTTCCATTATGACCTGGAACAAGCAAGACAGGGATACCCTTTCTTGCCACTCTCATTCAATATTGTACCGGGAATCTTAGCCAGAGCAATAGGCAAGAGAGAGAAATAAAAGGCACACAGAGAGGAAAGGAGAAAGTCAAATTATCCCTGCCAGGAAATAAAATGTTTGAATGTAAAGAAAACCCTAAAGACTTCATTAAAAGATTCTTAACACTAAAAGACTCTTAACAAAAAAAGGGAGCGTGCTTGCCACATAAGTGTGAGGACCTGAGTTCAAACCCCAGTACTGCCAAAAAAATAAATAAAAATTAACATACAAAAATCAACAAAAAATTTATACATTAATTACAAACTTGCTGAGAAAGAAATCATAAAAGCAATCTATTCACAATAACAAAGCCACAAAGAAGAAAAAAAACTATGAATAAATTTAACAGAGGTGAAAGACTTCCACAATGAAAGTTACAAAATGCTGATGAAAAAAATAGAAAAAAGACACCAAAAGAAGAAGAAAGATATCCCATGTTTGTGGACTAAAAGAATTAACAATATTTAATGTTAAGATGTCCGAACTAGCTAGGCAAGGTGACACACACCTATAATCCCAGCACTCAGGAGGTGGAGGATTGACAGTCTGAAGCCAGCCTTAGTTTTGCAGTGACACAGAAAGTCCATACTGCCTAAGATGGTTCACGGATTCAACACAATCCCCACCAACAGACCATGCATCCCAAGGACACTCTTCACAGAACTAGAAAAACAATGCTTGGATTCGCACGGAAGCATGAAAGACACAGCACAGCCACAGCAACCCGGAGCAAAAAGACTAAAGGTGGGGGCGTCACACTGCTCGACTCCATGGTAACCAAAATACCATGGTGTTGGCATAACACAGTCACATGGAACCGATGCAACACAATGGAAATACCAGAAGTAACTCCCCCACATCTCCAGCCAATTGACACGCGACCGACGCCCGAGAATCCACTGGACAAGAGGACAGCCTCGCCCACAAATGGGGCCGACGTTTACCTGACAGAAGATTCATACCCAGAGTACGTAAGGAACTCACACAACCTCACGCTACAAACAAACGACCCAGTTAAAGATGGTCAAAAACCTGGAAAATGCTCAGTCTAATCAGTCACCAGAGGACCGCAGATCAGAGCCTCAGGGAGGTGAGAATGGCTGTCATCCAAACAGGTGGACTCACAGACACTGAGAGGTGAGGAGAAAAAGGAACTCTCACACACTGTCGCTGGCTCTGTGCAGGCATGAACGTGCCCTGAGAAGTGACCGCTGTCTCCAGGGCCCGGCCTGGGATGGGACAGTAGGCCAAACTTAAAAATAGTCATTTGGCCCAGACATGGCTCCTGGAGCCGCACTGGGTCTCCAGTGTGTGTTGGGGGGCTGTGTGGGACCCGCACAAGGAGAGGGGAGCTCTGCAAACCCCAGCCTCCCAGGAGGGCCGAGGGAGAGGGGAGGGGGGACCTCTGCTCTGAGGCCCACTGGTCTACTGCACCAATCGAGGCAGGCGCAGGCGTGTGTGAGGCGGGGCGGGCGCAGGACGCACCCGTGTGTCGCTTGTAGTGCTTGAGCATGTTGACCTTCTGCGCGAACTTGCGGTGGCACTCCTTGCACTCGTACTCCTTGATGCCCTTGTGCAGTTTCATGTGGTGACGCAGTGCGTGCTTCGTCTTCATGCCTGGGACAGGAGCACATCACAGAACGGTTCAGGCCGTGTGTGTCCCACCCACTGCCCCCACAGTGCCATGCTGGACCAGCTGCAGGACTGACGAAGACACTGCCCCGAGACCACTGGAGATTTACTGCAACATCTCGCTGTGTGACAGGGGCAGGAGTTGTTGGTAAACTCCCAGGTCCTCCACTGGGACCCTACAGGGATGATAAGGGTTTCCTGTCTGTCATGAAGAGGCCACTGTATAGTTTACACAGTGACATCCAACCCACTTTTAACGCAGCTTACTGTACCCTCTTGAGGAGGTGAGTGAACCAAGGCCCCACAAACTCAGGCCAATGGGGAGAGGACACCTGGGTAACAAAGTCAAAATATCCTTCGGGGCCAGGACACCAGCTGGATGTGTAGCCATGCAAGAGGCTCCAGGGTGAGCTGTAGGGGCCGTGAGCAGTGGCTTAGCAAATCCCGCAGTGTTCACACACAGGACAGACACAGTCCAGTCCTGAGGGGACGAGCAAGGGGCAGTGGAGAGGCCACTGCTGGCTCCTTGCACTTGGGCAATGAGTTCCAGGGGCATCGCCCAGCTGGAAAGAGCCCTGGAAAGAAGTGGACAGAGTCTGCATATGGCTCCTTCTTCAGCTGGCAAACACTTGACCAGCTCCACACTGGGTGACTCGTTAGGTCACCCAGAAAACCTGTCTCCATCCATAGAGGGCTGACTCCAATCTGCTGCAGTTCCAGAGTTCTAAAACCTGGGGCCAGAGGGCCTTGCACAGTTGAGCCAGCAGGGGGAGCACTGGTCCCCACCATGAGCCTCCTCGGCACCCAGGTTAGGGCTCCCATGGGAGGGGCACATGCCTACATCTTGCCAACTGTGGAAGAGCGCTTTAATTTTTAATGCGTTGATTTAAAAAGTCACCAGAGACGGTGGCTCATGTCTGTAAATCCTAGCTATTCAGGAGGCAGAAACTAGGAAGATTGTGGTTGAAAGCCAGTCTTGGGCAAATAGTTCAGGAGACCCCATCTCAAAAAAAAACCATCACAAAAAAGGGCTGGTGGAGTGGTTCAAGTGGTAGAGTGCCTGCCTAGCAAGTGGGAGGCCCTTAGTTTGAACCCCAGTGCCACCAAAAAAGTAAAAAGTCACAAGGGCTGGGCACATGTGGCTCATGCTGTAATCCTAGCTACTTGGGAGGCAGAGATTAGGAAGGATTGTGGTTCGAAACCAGCCTGGGCAAAAAGTTTTCAAGACCCTGTCTTGAAGATATCTAACACAAAACAGGACTGGTGGAGTGACTCAAGAGGTAGAGTACCTGCCAAGCACACGTGAAGGCCTGAGTTCAAGCCCCCCGCCCCTCAAACAAAGAGTCACATGATGCACTCATAGGGTCAAAATCTGCAGGTGGTTCACCCTGTCTTGGGACCCCCCCCACTCTGGGGGCTCTACTCTCCCACTTTACACTTTTCTATCTCAATAAACTCTTCTGTTTTACACACACACACACAAACCCTGCAGGAGAGGTTAGGTTGGAGGTTGGTCATCCAGCAGCTGACTCCTGACCTGCAGGTGCCTCAGCACAGTCTAGATCTCTCAGGCCCTGCCACTGGCATTGTCACACTTCCCAGAACCTCCTCCTAGCCTCTCAGTGCCACTGTGACCGTGCTATGATGTGACGTCACCCTCCACTGCTCGTCTGTCTCTTCTGCAAAGGACATCAGTCTGGCCTGTGCAAGCCCCATGACCACATAATTTTCAGTAGCGAGATAACTATCCATGGTTCTCATCTGTTTCTTCAGCAAACACTGGAGCTCTGACTACGTGCTAAGCACAGAGACGAGGCAGCAAGCTGAACTGATGCCTGGCTTCACAGGGCTCCCATTTGAGGTGGGGTGGGGTGGGGGTCGAGTAAACCAATGCAGCATGTGATGTGAAAGAAACAGGACCAGGCAGATTTGGGGATGGACAGGAGCAGTGGCAGCAGGGGAGGGGAGCAGCTGCTAGGGACACTGGTTCTTCAGAGGGAGTACTGGGGACCCCTACCAATGAGGCATGTGAAAGAGTGACTGGAGCGAGTGCAGGAGCCAAGAGTACTTGGGAATAGCACTTCTAGCAGAGATAAGGGGCAGCACAGGAGCACATGTGCTTAACCCCTGGCTTTAAGTCTTCTCTGTCCCAGACAGGCTGAGAGGTCGCTATCTTCACCACACACAGACCACACTGCAAACTCAGGTTGAGAATCCCTTGTTTATAATGCTTGGGACCAGATGGGCTTCAGATGTGGAAGCCATTTAGAATTTTGGAATATTTGTGTAGGCTTTACTGGCTGAGCCCCCCTCATCTAGACACCTGAAATTAGAAATTTTTGAACCTCGTG